ATTTCAGCTAAAGAGCTCCKCTCCRTCTGTTTCAGGTTAGTGGACATCATTCAGTAAACTGTCCCGTCGGGAAATATGTCACTACGTCACACAGTGGAGTCCCTCTGATTGGTTGACGCGGCGCGTCGAGCTGCAAAAGTTCAGATTTTCTAACTTCAGCGATTTGCGCCTCAGCGCGTCGAACGCTCAGATCGTTCAAATCGCGCTGCTCTAATCGCGCTGCTCTAATCGCGCTGCTCTAATCGCGCTTGAGGCGCCGCAGCACTTCCCGACGCTGCTTGAAGCGCGTCCACCATAGAATTTGCATGTAAACCTGATGCTCCTGATGCTGAAATCGCGTTCGGTGTGAACGCACCATAATCCTGTTACTGCAACGTGCGCTGTTGCAGGCTCTAAATAAACAAACAACGCTTAATGCCAGGCCTGTGAGAAACGCTGGACGTTTAACCGTCATGGGAGGATGCGTGCTGTCGAGGGGAGGTCTCTGATAACGCTAGGGAAAACAATCTATGCAACAATAGACCATTTTATAGTTAAATTGTTACAAAACGTGCAAAGCGAGCAAAGCTCACACATTTTTTCTGGAGAAATTCCATTGAAATTGAGCTAATTCAACTGGCAAATTTACGCCATTATGCACAACAGATGCATTTACTCTTACTTTAAGATTGTAGATGAGATTTTTCATAAATACGAAGCTATGAATCTGCTTTTTGAGCTTGTTGAATTTGCACAATTTAAATGGCGTTTTCATAGCAACCTCACCTGTGACCTGGATGATTGGGGTCTATTGCTTAAAGTTTCATGCAAATCTGCCGAAATTCAGACTTTTCACACTTAACGAAAATTCAGGACAATAATACCAAAATTTTGAATCTTTAAACTCTGCAGTTTTCCTAAATTATTATTATTGTTTTTATACTGCAGATCTTTTAAGCTATTTTAATCAAAACGGTTTGTTTTAGCATAATTCCTTTTGGAGGTTAGTATAAACGCCCCCCTTTCTTGTCAGTGGACAATGTATGAGGGGGGCCCCGGTCCCTCTGAACCCGTCCTTGGTTAGCGTTAACTTCTTCAGGGCGTTACATAACCCTGTGTGTCCCCCTCCCAGTCTGACAGAGAGCCAGGCTAACGGACACTTTTCATTAGAAACACTCCGTGAAGGAATCCGTGAGATGAAAATACCTCCAGACAGACACAGAGGCTTTAAATAACGAGCTGTAATAAAAAGCGACAGTTGCCACAACAGAGTTGAAACAACAACGTCCCGCAGCACCGAAATGCTAGCAGCAGCGGAGCACGGAAAACTTTAAAACCTCAAAAATAAAATAAAAATTAAAAAAAAACTCCCACTTTTCACGGAAAATGAGTATCGTCATTTTACATTAGCGGGCACGACCGTCGCACAGAAATGCATACTAAAGTAATTTAGGCGTGTTCAACTCTTGTTTAAATACTGAATGATGCGAAAATGCGCGTCAACGTTTAGCTAACTTCCCGGAGGAGAGCGGCGGAAGCTACGGCTACATGTCGCGCACAGACGGGAATTTAAAGGCAGACTCACCCGTAGTGCGTCCAAAAAACCCGCAGAGGCTGTGAACGCTGTGATGCGACGGGCCGGAGGAGCTCGGGAGTCGGCCGGGTTTGAGGACTGAACAGAGGTCGTTGCATCAGCTCGTTTAAGTACCGAACGTCAGGCTCAGGAATGCGGAACTCGGGTCCCAGACGTAAGCGTGGGGTGAAAATAATAATGTAGGAAGAGGAGGCGCTGAGCTGAGGAGGACTCTCGTCTCTCGGCTTTGTTTGCTCCACCCATAGCAACCAGAAAACACACAAAAAAAGTTTCAGCTTCCCGGCGGGCAGAGAGAGAATCCGCAGCTGATACCGACGGAATCGACGCGGCGTAGCTCAACTCCACGGGCCGTAAACAGATGTGCGGCATGTCACAAACGTCCTGTTTACGACTTCACAGAAACTGGGTTCCAGCTGGCAAAACACACGTCAGAGCTGAATAAGTTGATTATACATTTAATAGTTTTACCTGCCGAAGGTGCAGTGGCTCAATGAACGAGTTACAGGTTTAGCCACACACCGGCAACTTACGGCTGGCGGGCCAAAGGAGGCCCTTGGACGATTTCCATCTGGCCCCATTATCCCTGAATGAAAATAAAACGTTAAAATAAGCTGATTAATTATTTTTATTAATGACACTTAATGAGTTTATTCTTGTATGTTATCTAATTTAGTAATAATAACGCATTTATTTGAATAGCACCTTTCAAAACAGTTGCAAAATGCTTTACATCACTTAATAAAATCAAAATATATGCAATTATAATACAATTTAAAAATTTTGGGCATCGAAAACTTTTGGATTAAGATAAGCCATTTTTTAACAACCTGTTAAGTCATTGTTTCAAGAACTGGACTAAACTTTCATCACTATTACCAGTAGATCAGTGATTCCCAAAGTTGGGGTCATGAAAAGATGATTTTCAGACATCAATTTAAATGGAAATAATTAGCTAATGGAGCATTTTCACCATAATCATTAAAAAATGAATAAATGAATAAAAGTAGTAAAGCTATTAAGTTTGTTTATATTGTTATGCTCATTTATTATCAAGGTTTGCATTTGTAAACCAGTAATAGCTTGGGTCAGACGTTTCTGCAACTGTTACTTTGTAAATCAAAAGCTAAAAAGTTTGAAAACCACTGCATTAGACTAATGCTTTGGGAGCCGTACAAACATTCACCAACAACCTCCGCCTTCCGATTTTCGGCAAGACTGGTGAGGACATGGAAAAGGAGCGCTGTCCAGCTACAGATGTCATCTGCCCGTTGAAGCAGACGCTCCCTTTCATGTGTTCATTCAGCTTTTCCTTGAGGGGTCACATTTGACAGTTCCTTTGGCCCTCACTATGTTAGCAAACCACTTCGGTTTCTATTTCTTGGTTTGTGTTTGAAAGCAATCATGATTCCCAAAGAGGATGCAAACTGGAAAACAATAGTGACAATAGTACTGTTAGAAAATGTTCAAAACTGGAAGCTCAAATAATATGCAGAAAACAAAATCTAGTTCTCTGAGTCTAATCAAAGTGGATTCTAACTTCTTTAAGCTGTAAGGTTGTATCTAAAATTCAGTTAATCTGCCACAAAATATCTTTCAATACTGTACGGACAGAAAAAACAGCTATGACAACTTTTCATGTCAGCCATGTTGGATTCTTTAGGTCAGGAATTTCCAATTTTCAGAAAATTTTTCAAATAACATAAGATATAAAAACAAACAAAAAAACAGTAAACTAAAACATCCAAAGTGGTATTTCACAAATAAATGTTCTGGATGGAGCATTTAAAATTACTATTACTACTTTTACTTCCAGATGTTTGCCCAACAGGAGTCACTCCTGCAGGATATTACCACACATGTCCTTAGATACTTCACAAACCTGCATTATATATTGTTTTATAAGCTGCAACTAAGCTTCTTTAGTGGAAACTTAACACATACAGTTTATGCAGAATCATGTCTCTGTATTACTTACTGTGGCACCAGAGACAGAAAATCACCCTAATGACTCTGCTGCTTCCCTCTAGTGCAGCTGGCAGTAACTACAGTCCACTGTTGGTGAGGTCTACAGAAAAAAGGAACCTGAAATAATAAAAAGTATTTAGGTTTTTGTTTTTGAAGAACTATTTTAAAAAATCCAGGCTGCAAAACTGATTTTACTCATGTCTTTAGATTTTGTTGTGTGAAATTTTAAAGCACTTATATATATAT